TCGCTCTTGTTACCCAGGCTGGAGTGTAATGGCATGATCTCAGCTCACCGCAACCTCCGCCTCCTGGGTTCAGGCAATTCTCCTGCCTCAGCCTCCTGAGTAGCTGGGATTACAGGCACGCGCCACCACGCCCAGCTAATTTTTTGTATTTTTAGTAGAGACGGGGTTTCACCATGTTGACCAGGATGGTTGATTTCCCATTTTAAACAACTTTTTTGAGTAATCAATCAACTACCTGTCTCAGTCACAGTTAGAAAAGAGTTCTTCTAGAGAAATGATTCCAAGCTGGGTTCCATGCAGCGTCACCCAGCACCTGGAAACTTGTTGAAAATGTGAAGTCTTAGCCTCACCCAGACTTACAAAGTCAAGAACTCTGGAGGTGGCACTCAGCGCTGTGTTTTCAGAAGCACTCCCACTCCCGTGATTCTAACACACACTAAGCTTGAAAAGTGCTGTGCTGCAGCATATGTAAAGGGAACAGTAGCAGCAATGTTATTAGGGTGGTAAGGAAGAATTCATTTACAACTACATACTGAGCTGCAGCTATAATAGATGCTCTTCCACCAGGCAGGAAGAATATTGAGATTATATGACACCTCCACTGCCCTTTGGAATTAGGCTCTAGTGGGTAAAACATACAGGTAAGCAATTAGTAGCCATAGCAAACATACAGGTAAGCAAGCAGAGCATAGCGGCGCCAATGGAGGGATGTTCAGGAGCCCAGCAGCAGGTCTCATGTGGTTGACCCTCAAGTCAAACAATCACTGAGCTATACCAGGCAGGATGGACAGAAGGCAGCCAGGCAGAGGCGAAGGTCCATGTTAAAATTAGCACTAAGGAAGTAGAGACACTATGAATAAACCACTCCTTCGAAACAACCTCCTAAGAATAAAACTACAAACTATGCAAAACTTCTTGAGCGCCTTCTGGCAGACAGAGAAGAACCAGGTTTCTGGATGGAAACACTGACCATAGAAATGTTGATCGTTCGAAACTAATTCATAGGTTTCATATAATTTTTACTAAAGGGTTTTTCTTTATTTGACTAGTTCTTTCAAAAAAATAATTCTACAGTTCCTCAGGACAGATAAATAGGCTAAAAATAACTGACAAAATCTTGAAAAATAAAAAATACTGATAGGGCAGGGTGTTAGGAAGATGGAAATGGGGATGGGAGACCCTGTGTTCCCCATGGACATGGGAAGCAGATGACCAGGGTTCAAGTTCTAGCTCCACCATGTATTTTTTTTCTCTGAACACAGGTAAGTCAGGTGACCTCACTGGTCTTCATTTCCTCATTTGTAAAAGGGTGATTATGCTACCTCATAAGGTTATTGTGAAGAAAAAGTCAGAAAACGTAAGTCAAGTGTTTAGTACTGTGTTTGCCATGTAATAGCACTCAAAAAATTGTTTGCTCAAAATTAGTAAAATAAAGTGAGATAAAGTAAATTATAGCTATAAAAATTAAAATCTAGAAAAAACTCAATTTACCTCACACCAGAAAGCAAAATAATTTTCAGAACTAAACAACTATTTTTTAAATGCACAAAAATAAGAATAGTGACATTTTTATCTGATTCCTGTTAGAAATTTCTAGATTTAAAAATCAATAGAAGAAATTAGCCGGGCATGGTAGCTCATGCCTATAATCCCAGCACTTTGGGAAGCTGAGGCAGGTGGAATCACCTGACTTCAGGAGTTCAAGACAAGCCTGGCCAACATGGTGAAATGCAGTCTCTACTAAAAATACAAAAATTAGCCAGGCATGGTGGCGGGCACCTGTAGTCCCAGATACCCAGGAGGCTGAGGCAGGAGAATCACTCGAACCCAGGAGGCAGATGTTGCAGTGACTCAAGATCACGCCACTTGCTCTGGGCAACAAAGCAAGACTCCGTCTCAAAAAAAAAAAAATCAATAGAAGAAATCACAAAGAAAAACAGCAGTCCATTTAATTACACAAAAATGTAAAATATGTGTGCAGAAAAAAATCAAAATCAAAATTAAAAGGCAAACCACAAACTGGGAAAATATGTGTCATCAATATAATGCTAAAATATAAGCACCCAAAATACAGAGTTTATATAATCAATAAAGAAGACACTAACTTTAACAAAATTTGAACAAAGGACATAAACAGGTGATTCAAAGTAAAGGAGTACAAATGGCTTAAACATGTTCACTCTCACTGTAAGCTAAGAAATGCAAATTTAACAGATCGTATGCCATTTTTCCATCCAGCAGTTCAGCCAAGATTTTTGAACAATAACTTCAGAGCTGGTGAAAGTGCAGAAATTGCTACTCATGTTTTTTACTGGTAGGAGTAAGAATTGGCACATTTCTGGAAAATGATTTATTTAATTTATTTATTTTGAGACAGAGTCTCGCTCTGTCACCCAGGCTGGAGTGCCGTGGCACAATCTCGGCTTACTGCAACCTCTACCTCCTGGGTTTAAGTGCTTCTCATAGAAACAAACACTGGTACCTTCCTACTAAGTTTACTCCAGGCTTTATTTGGATTTCACCAGTTTTTCCTTTTCTGTTCCAGGATCCAATCCAAGAGCTCACATTACATTTAAGAAGCTGCATTTGGATAAAACATTAGGAAAATGTCTAGAGTAGTAACACTAAATAATTCTGAGGCTCTGTCCACCTGCCAGAGAGACACAGCATGGGTTGAAACATAACCCCCACATACAAATGAGTAAACTGAGGCTCTCAGAGTCTCCACGTGGGCAAGTGGCAGAGCAGGGGCTTTCTGGGGCCAGCAGTGGGTACCACAGCACAAACCTGGGCAGACTGAGTTTTTTTCAAGAGGTTGCATAAAGACCAGAACTGACGGGTGCCTGCCACCTCAGTACTTCCAGCGCAAAGCTCTGTGGCCAGGCTCCAAACACTGAGTTAGATGCCATGGTTCAGTTCATCACCTCAGCTCCTTGCAAGGAGCAGGCAAGGGTCAGTGGCCAGAGCTGCCATCTGAATGCTAGTGAACTTTCATCCAGATTCAAGCCCTAACCCAGCTATTCACCAGTACTGTCTTTGGACGAGCCAATAACTGTTCTGAGCCTCAGTTTCCCCATCTGAAATGTGGAAATAATTGTTCCTAACCTCAGGGATGTTAGCAGATTTAAATAAGAGAATACAGGTCTACTTCAGAGAGCATTAATTCCCACCTCTGAGTGGCAAATACAGATACACATGTGTGCATGCTTGTCCATATGCACACACGTAACATCATGGGCAAACTACAAATTACCTCAACCAAAGAGCACTGCTGCCTGTTGTTCCTTTGTCGATAAAGACAGGGCAATTCACTCCCGGTCTATAGTGGCTGATGTGAATTCCATGTCATAATTCAGAGCCAATCTGGAGGGTGAACTTGGCACTGATGAGAGCTGGGGCTGAGGATGTGGCCTCCCAGTTTCAGATGCTTCTGATGAAGGCAGGATGAGGATGCTCAGTCTCCACTCCCCCGAGGTCTCGGGCCCCATGGCCGCCAGCCCCTCCACACCATGCACACACTGCGTGCACATGCTGGTCACACGGTGTGGGCCTGCTCCCTACCACCCAGGTGTGAGAGCTGGGTCTGGGGGTACTGCTTTCATGAAGGCAACCTCCCAAATGAATCTTAGTCTTCATAACTTTCCCCACTGAGCCCAAGGGGAGAATGAGAGTTCTGGAAGTTATCTGAAAATTAGGTGATTTTTACCCTGTCTCCTGAAATTCATGAATCTAGCAAAAGGTGACACAAAAGAAAAAAACATGGCAGCAGGTAAGATAAAAAGAGAAGAAGGAAGAAAGAAATGAATAAGGGGAGGGAGAGAAACAAAAAGGGAGAGAAGAAAGGTAGAAAGAGAGTAGAAACAGAGGGAGAAAGAGAGAGGAGTAGGGAGGGAAGGTGGTAATAGCTGCCCAATAGTTGAAGAGAGAGACAGAGACAGAGACAGAGAGAGAGAGAGGTGATACTAGCTGCTCAATAGATAAAGAGAGACAGAGAGAAAAGAGATGGGGAGGAGAGAGGGAGGAAAGGGAATAGCTCCCTGATAGATGAAAGAGACAGGAAGATACAGTGAGCAGGGCAGGGAGAGAAATGCAGAGACAGAAACAGAGGGAGAAGGAGGGAGAAAAGACAATATCTGCCAAAAGATGGGAGAAGGAGAGAAACACAGAGAGACAGACAGAAACAGAAAGAGAGTGAGAGAAGAGAAAAAGTAACAATAACTACCTGGTAGATAAGAAAGAAAAATAGAGAGAGAGAGAGAGAGACAGGCAGAGAGAGACAGAGAGAGAGACAATAGGCAAACTGAGAATCACTTGTTCCCTTCGTAACTCTGCAAAGCGCCATTGAGATGCAGCAATCATAGTGCTTTGCCGATGACTCTCTCATCTATCATCTGACACTCTAAGAACCTACAGCTATGCTTGAGTGACTGGGCTTCAAGTGTTTGTTTAAAGCTGGGCATGACACACAAACTTGGAATTCCAATACAAACTTGGAATCTTAATGATCTTGTCTGTGTTCAATTACTTGACCTGATTTTGCTCGGCAAATATTAGCCATCAAGCCCAGACACACTTGTAGAAAGAAGCCACAGAAAGGGCATTTACAGTGGGAAATCTTTTCTGCCCATTTTCATTGTGCACAAATTGTGTGTTTAACCAATTGCTGCAAAGTCTGAGAGCCTCTTAACAGTACACAATCCACCTTTCCTGAATTTCAGGGATTTTTCTGACACCAATCAATCATTCCTTTAGTTCAATGACTTACTGAAAACATTGACAGAATGATTGGCTTTTTCTAACCACAACCACTTATATTTCTCATCCAGAAACAAAACAAAAAACAGCCATTCCTCCCGAACACCTGCAAACAATTACAATTATCAGCAAAGGACTACCCACTCTTTGATATAAAACTTCCCTTGAAATGGAAAGTAGTAGATAACATTTGCCATGATTGGGTCTGCAGGAGTGAAATTAATGAATATAATTAAACATAATACCTGTAGGTAGAACTTGTCCCCATAAAAGACATATTTCAAGGATGACCGTGGAGATCCCCATTTTGCTGGGTTCTTCTCAATTGAATAGAAAATCCTTGACATTTATAGGTATCTATCTAAAAGGAGGTGTGCCCTCTAGGGTGGTATATTCCTACTGCTGCTATAAATCAATATAAAGGAAGTGAGGGCTTTTGGTAACAGTCGATGGCTAATCTGTGGGAGAAACTTAGGTGTGTTTGATCGATTGTCATATGAACAATCTGGCTGTTGTCCAACTGCAAATGCAGTGACATAAGTGAACAATTTCCAACTTCCTTCTAGGTGAACCTCGAAGGCTCTCGAGTGTTTCCTGAACACAGGCTTGATTTTCATCCTGGAGAGTTCCAGTTAACCTGTGGGAAGTCTGCCCCAAGGTTTGGGGCAGAGCAGGATGTGGGCTGCTTGGCAAATACAGGACACGGTGCCAAAGGGGAAAGCATCTCTTTGGGATGGTTTTTCCTGGCAGGACATTCTCTCATTGGCCCCTGTGCAGTGTGCGTAACCTCACCTTGGGAGAACAAGGATGACATGAGCGAGGATGTGACCAGAGAGCAGAAGGCATGAGGGAAGATCCCATGGAGACCATGGGTCTCATACTAATTCAACAACAGAGCTGAGAAACACATGACCTCAAACTAAACCACCTCCAGCCATTTCACACAGTTTTGATTTCTTGTCCTTGACATGCACACTGTCTGATGCTTGGAGCTTGGCAAACCCACGAAACCTGCCCCTAACCTCCACCTGCCTTGCACACAATCCCCCTCCTGGGGCTTACTAGGTAAATATCACTTCACTCTTTGTACTCCTCAGAAGTCATCACCAGACTCTGCTAATCCACTCTCTACCCCCACCACTCTACCGAGAAGGTTGCCTGACATTGATCTGTGAACCAAGACACTTTTGGTGGCCAGTAACTCTTGGTCAAAAGGAGACAGCTTTCCAGGACTTGCCTCTGTTTTCCTAACCTGGATAGCTGTGCCCTGTTCCTCAGCTTGGAGGCTGAGGCCATCAAATGACGCTTGGCCTCTTTGCCATGCACTGTCATCAGTCATCTGTGCTGTATTCTAGAAGGTACCGTGAGCCCATGTCCTGTGTCAGCCACGAGTCAGAATTCAGGGCTGGAGGTCTGCCTTCGGCTTCATCCAGATGAAAGTTACATTCAGTCCTTGATTTCCTTTTTAATCCTACAACTCTTCTTACTGCTTCCAGGCACCTCTTCTGCCCTTGAGGAGAACAGGCACACAGAATAGGCTCACTGCGTTTCAGCCTCCCACCGTCAGCTCAGCAGCTGATAAGCCCTGGGTGACGAGAGAACAGGGTTACCCATCTACCAGGGAATGCCCAAGACCAGACACAGGCTGAGTTCCTCTTAGAAGGGGATTATGATCCCTTGCTTCCTGGGGTGTTGGGTTGAGAATGATTATGCAGCTGGGTCTGGGACCCTCAGGGTGTCAGCCAGTTAGCACTGTCTGCCGTAAGCACAGCAGGGAAAAATGATGGTAAGAATACTAAATATCTGTGAACAAGAAGCGGGAAAAGTGTCCTTCCTAGACAAAAGCAGACTGCCTGGTGACAATTTCAACAGGGGGTAGCAAGTATGAGTACAAGCTGCTATGAGAACATAAAGAAAAGCATCTAAATAGGATGGCAGAGGCTGTCTCTCAGAGCTAGAAGATTGGATGAGGGACAGGAGAGATTCCCCGGCTGTGCAGGAACATCCTTCTTGAGAATTGTGTGTGATTTTCTGGAACTGCCAAACCTCCCTGTTTTTGTTGTTTGGTGACCGCAACCTTTGTCCACAGTGCTTAGCAGCAAAGGTCCTGAGACAACAAGGGCTTGTGAGCTTTCTGTTCAGGAGACACCGGGAAGAAGGAAGCGGTGAAGCCTAGCTGTCATTTCAAAGCCGGCCCAATAGGGAATGGGTGACGTCAGTGGAACAGGATGGATGTGGCGGTCCTGGGCGTGTAGACAGAAGACAATGGGGCTGAGGGCCACCTGCCAACACCCTGTCGGTCCTCGGGCTTCAACGTCAGGTGCCGCATCTTGTCCCAAGGCCATTTTATGGCTCGGAAGACACCATTTAGAGAGGTCTTTCTTGGATGAAGAGGAGGGTTTAGGGGGAAAACCCCCTCCAGCAGCAGCCCCTCCCAGAGGACCCTCATCTTCCCCCGCCTACTGGCTGGAAGCATCTGCTTAAACAGCACGGTATGGAAGACCACAACCACAAAGTTCCATTTTATTCATCACAAAACTGCCATGAAGAGCAACAGAGAGCAAGAGAAGCCCATTAAAGCTGGGAGACTTGGCATTCAGGCCACATTTGCAAAGCACCTTCCCCAGGCAATTTCGAGCCAGCGGCACCCCACAGCACACTCCAGGAGGTGGGACCGAGCCCCTAAATCCCAGCACTGGAGGCCTGGTCTTCATGGGGAAGAGCTCCCTACAGGGGTCATAGGTGACTTTTTTTTTTTTTTTAATAGAGTGAGACTCTGTCACCAGGCTGGAGTGCAGTGGCACTATCTTGGCTCACTGCAACCTCCACCTCCCAGGTTCAAGCGATTCTCCTGCCTCAGCCTCCCGAGTAGCTGGAACTACAGGTGTGCACCACCATGCCCAGCTAATTTTTATATTTTTACTAGAGACGGTTTCACCATGTTAGCCAGAATGGTCTTCATTTCTTGGCCTCATGATCTGCCTGCCTCAGCCCCCCAAAGTGCTGGGATTACAGACATGAGCCACCACACCTGGCCATATGTGGCATTTTTAAAAGCTGCAGAATCCTTTCCTAAATTGGAATTCATGGGGAAGCCCCAAAACATAAAACAGGCCAGTGGAAGGGTCCTGACTGTGGTGAGGGTTCCCCCTTCCAGGCCCCTCCCCTAGGGCCATCTGTGGACAGAGCAGGATTCCCTGTGGGAGGCCGAGTCCTCCCTTCATTAGACAGGGCACTGAGAAGGCCAGCAGGGACCCTGGGGCTGCCAGGCACACACCCCCGCCTGAAGCTGAGCTGCAGTCCCAGGCAGATTCCCCAGAACATCCTGTTGTTCTTCAAAAGATTCTTTCTCCTCACAGCCCAGTGCCCTGGGAAGCCAGAGGCAGAGGGAGAACAGGGAGGCAGCCCAGGGCCGCTCCCACCTCCCACCTCTGAGGGGGTCTCTGATTTCTGAGCCAGGAGCCCTGTGACCTGACAGGCAGAACGGGAGCCTTGCAGGAGGGTCGAGGCCGTAGCGCCTTCAGGCAGCTGCTGTTTGGCCTCCAGCCTCTTCATCCGGTAATCTGTGTGACCAGGGCTCCGCTTCAGGTGTCAGTCTGACCCCAAACTCTTAATTCTGCCCTCACGGAGTAGCACACCTAATTGTCCGTCATTGTTACCCTTGTAACAGTCTTTTGACATTGAACGTCTGATATTTATAATGTTGCTCATTTTTGTTGCTCAGAAAGCCAGTCTTCCCAAACAGTTATAAGGGCACTCCTTCCTACCCTCCTCACTCCCTCCGGGTCACCCCCCACCGCCCCACACCTCCCTGCTGTGCTTTGAGAACCAGAGTCGCATTGTCTCCTGCTGCACCTCTGTAGTCCCAGTGCCCCAGGCAAAAGCCAGTAGGCACCAGCTTTTGAGGTGGGTATTGCAAGCAGCTCACCCCTGCTGTCCAGGGGTCCCTGGAAAGAAGCCTGTGGTTCAGCGGGGCTGGTGATGAGCCAGTTCTCCTTCACCATTCAGCTTCCAGCTGGGGACCATGCGGTTCAGAGACAGGAAATGACACACAGAGCTGAGACCACATCCAGAACAGCCCTCACAGCAGATGCCGCCTCCCATCTGAAGGACAGATGAGCTCCATGTTCATCAGGATGCCATCCAACTGCGGAATCTTCCAGCAACAAACACAGCCCTCTAGGGACCCCTGGCACACAGAAATCCCATTGCATGCCTCCCATCTTACTCAGAGTAAGGCTGAAAGCACTCCCATGGTTTATAAGGCCCCGCATGAGATACCCCTGCCTCTCTCTCCCCATCTCCCACTCTAACCATCGTCCAGCCCCAGGGCCTTTGCACTTGCTCCTCCCTCTGAAGACTTTTTCCCCAAATGGCTGGAGACTCACTCCTTCCCTCACACAGAGGTTTTCTAACATGCATCTCCTCCATGCAGCCCCACCGGCTGGCCCTCCCCAGCACTCCCTAACAACCCCTCCTCTCCCCACAGCACCCCTCACCATCCAGCCTCCTATTTTACTTCTTTATTCTTTTGACTGTCTGCTCCCACTAAAATGCAAGCTGTACAAGGTGAGATTTTTGTCTGTTTTATCCATTGCTGCACATTCAGAACCCAGAACAATGCTTCACACAAATAGGAGATGCTCAAGAAATATCTGCAGCTAGGCTGGGAGCAGAGGCTCATGCCTGTAATCCCAGCACTTTGGGGGGCCAAAGAGGGTGGATCACTTGAGGTCAGGTGTTTGAGACCCACCTGGCCAATATGGCAAATCCTGTCTCTACTAAAAATACTAAAAATTAGCTGGGCATGGTAGCACATGCCCGTAGCCCCAGCTACTCAGGAGGCTGAGGCAGAAGACTCTCTTGAACCCAAGAGGCAAGGGTTACAGTGAGCTGAGATCATGCCACTGTGCTCCAGCCTGGGCAACAGAGTGAGACTCCATCTCAAAATATATATAGATAGATAGATACATCTGCAGACTGAATTTAAAAGGTGAGCATGGGCAGATCTGGAAGAGGAGGACCAGGCCCCTTTGTACAGATGGTTCAAGTGAGTTCTGCATTTGCTGAAGGATAATGCTGTTCATTCATCTGTTCATTCAGCAAATACACTCTGATGCCTCTAATGTATCAGACACTGTTCTAGGGAGTGGGGCTGCAGCCTGATGCCAGATGGACATGCTCCCTGTCCTCAAAGGGAGGCAACACAGACAACAGACAAGAAATCAGTCAGTAGGGAGAAGGGTTTCAGATTATGTAAGAATTATGGACGAAATGAACAAGGTGATGGCGTAGAGAGTAGCTGTGGTAGGGATGAGGATTTGGATGGGGCAACACATTAACTCACTAACTGCTCCTGGTATGAGAAATCTAAGACTCAGAGAGGTCAAGTAACTTACTCAAAGT